CGACCTAAAATTCGACCAGAAATCATGTTAATTCGACCTAACAAAGTAATTTAACCACAATCTTTTACATTTAATAATAAATTTTATTTTTGAATTCTGATAATCAATAATTATAAAATACCTATTATACTTTCTTAGGTAAAAAATAAATAAGTTTTTTCTCTGGGTCTTAACCCGGGGTCAAGATTCTTATAATATTTTATTGTGAATAATTTACTCAATCATATTATTATGCATAGAGGATGAATATATCAATATTAGCATAGAAATAATCATCTTTAATAATATTAGACTCTATTTTTTAAAAATTGTTCTCTTTTATAATTTGAAAATATTGTATAATTTTTTCTTTACACTAGCAACTCGAGTCACGAAATCGAGTTTTGATCGGAAACCCAAATTAAAAACTAGAGGACGAGTAGTTCAATATTCACATAGAAATAATTATCGTATTAAAAAGAAAATATTAGATTTCTTTTTTATAAATCTTATCTCGAGATAAAAATATTGTATAATTGTTAATTTAAACTAGCAAATCGAGTCGCAAACTAGAGTTGTGATCGATAACCCAATAGAGGGCGAGTAATTCAATATTAAATCAATAATTGACATCTAATTCGAAATAATTATCTTATAGGAATTTATTGATTTTTAGATATTTATAATTCACTAGTAGAAAGCCCGTCAAAAATGACGGGAAATGAGATTTTTATTCAATTTTTACGATAGATGTCATGCCAGGTTTAAGCTCACAATATTAATAGAGCAATGGTGGATCCGACAAAATGGTAAGCTTTTAAAAAAGTAGGATCCTTAAAAATTGTTAAATTAATTTAGTTAAATATTAAAAATGTACTTTGTATATTTTTCAGTTAATTAGATAAAATATTCATAAGAGATAAAAAGGCATATTGTGCAGCCTGACAAAATGGATTTAAAAATAGGTAGGATGCTTAAAATAATATAAATTTAATTAAATTATAAAAAAGTAATTGATTTTTTGGAATAGATATAAAATCATATATATAATTATTTATAATAAGAATAATGTAATATGTATATTTTTTTGTGTGTTATACAAAATAATCAGCGGGGATAATAGAGCAATGGTGGATCCGACAAAATGGTAAGTTTTAAAAAAAGTAGGATCCTTAAAAATTGTTATATTAATTTAGTTAAATATTAAAATTAATGTACTTTGTATATTTTTCAGTTAGTTAGACAAAATATTCATCAAAGATAAAAGGGCATATCGTGCGGCCCGACAAAATGGATAGCTTTAAAAATACATAGGATGCTTAAATAATATAAATTTGTTTAAATTATAAAATAATATCATACTAAGTAAATTCTAACAATTTATTTTTTTATAATGCTTAATGATTTTTATGCTTTTTTTGTATTATGATCAAGGTTATCATTATATTTTGATTTTATAAATTTATACTATTTAAAAATAAATTAAGACTGTTGGTAGGATCATCTGTTTGTATCCTATCCTATTATACGCTGGGGAGACATCCCACAATTAAGTGGACCCTCCACCACCCCATAGAGGGGGTCTCCAGTGAAGTGATTTTGCATTCACTGTTTGGCAGTAATTTACCCTACTGTTAGGGTTCATTTAATTTAAGAGGAATTACGGTACTTCTCGTGAATAGGCAAAGATTCACTAACAGTAATTTACCCTACTGTCAGGGCCCTTTTAATTTAAGAGAGCTTAAGGTATCTCTTGTGGTTAAAGTTAGTATCCACTGAGTTGATAAAAATATATTTTAATAGTAGGGTAAGAATTAGAAATTTATATTTAATGAGAAAAGAAAGGTGTTATTAAATATATGTATATAAGAAAGAAATAAGTAATAGTTATATAGGTAATAGAAGTAGACTAAAAGGAAAAAATTGGTAATTTGAGAAAAGATTTTTAGATTAAATTGAGAAAAATTAAGAATTGGTATTTGTTAGGTAATGGAAAAAGAAAGCAGACGATTTGATAAATTGATAGAAGAGAAGGGAAAAAGCTGACAATTTAGTTTAAGGTTAAAAAATAACATGATGAATGTAATGTTATTGAAATTAAGGTTAATTAATTGTAAGGTAATTAAAAAATAAGATAAAAAAAAGGGGGGGAAAGAAGGTATAAATTATTATATTATAAAAATAATAAAAATTAAATTAAAGGAATTGATAAGGTTTTGAGAAGTAGTGGTTAATAAATAATAGAGATAGGAAGAAAAGAATGATATAATAAAATTTAGTGATAAATAAATTCACTAAGGGAGGGGAAAATAAAGAAAGAATTATTTATAAGGATTGGAGATTATAAGTAAGTTAGGATAAGAATATTTAAATATTTGAATATACTTGTTTATCTTCTTAATTATTGGTTATGAAAGAAAAATGAGTATAAAAAATTGTGATGTAAGTACTGACAAAAATTGTGAGTATGTTCAAAATAAATATATAAGTTGAGTATCTTGCAGAGGAAAATTACATTAATGTGTAATTGATAATATGAGATAAAAATTGATAAGGTAATTTAAAAAATAAAGAAAGGATTAAGTGAAATAAAAAGTTAGCCTGAATCTTGAGAAATGAAGAGATATTGAAATTTGAATTATTTTTTTATTCACATCATTTATTTCATTCATATTCAGAAAGTTGAGGGAATATTGTTTATATCAATTTAACATCATCCATTTTTCCGCAGAAGATTTTTCCAGCAATATTTCCATCTGTTTGTATAAAATAAATAAATAAAATCAACAAATAGAAAAAATAAAAATAAATTCCTACCGATGACATAACGTAGCGATGACATGACGTAGCGATGACATGACGTAGCGATGACATGACGTAGCGATGACATCACGTCGCGATGACATAGTGAGGACATCGGAAAATTATAATATAGATATATAATCAAAAGAAATGCGGGTAATATATTTTTATTTAATTAATAATATTCGGGGTCTTGCCTAAATTAGTAAATATTGGCTAAGGCTCCCTATTAGATGAGTTGGCATTAGTCAGCTCAGGAGTTGGCTCTAGTTGTCCCAATAGTTGACTTGATTTATTTTTTAACAGAAATTGTTATTTAACCTTAATTCGCTAATGGACATTACGATAATCTTCAATTGCTTAATAAATAACCAATAATTGCCTTTCGATCAAAATATTTAGCAATATTGGCTATCCAAAAATTTTAAAACCTTAATTATGCACCCTATAGCTAATAGTTCTAGTTGCTTCTTGCTCGCAAATAACGATGGAGAGATCCTTCAGTGCACAGGTATAACCCCATTACTAACTCGATTTAATAAATGTACTTTAGACTATATTTTAATCATCAAACATAATAAAAATTTGTTAAACAACGTTGTCTTTTGAGTTTTGACATATTCATTTGTATTTATAATTTTTATGTGGTGATCATTATTTTTTTTTAGGATAATTAGTAAAAAAACTAAAATAAAATCTAAAAAAACATAAATAATTATACCCCCCCCTCTTATATAAAAACAAAAATAATTTTTCTTAATTAATAAATAAAAAAAACATTATTTTTGTTTATTTTTATATTAAATTTTTTTTTATAAAAATGAAATATATTAAAAATAAATGTTAAGGGTTAGGTTCTAAATAGCTAAAAATTTGGTATTGTTCTAAGTATTGTACAAAATATCATCAAAGAAGATTTTTAAGCAAGATCTATCTGGCACTAACATCATCCTTTTAGACCTGAATCCGAAAATATTTAAATTTAAAAATATAAATAAAAGATATTTTAATTTTTGTATAAAGTTCAATTTATTACTTATTGTCCTTGTCCTGATCCTAAAACAATTTTATTTATCTTTTATTTAGAAAAAAAGTGATTTGCAAAAGTCATATGGCTGGAAATAATCGCTTGACTATCGAATATAATAACTCATTTCAAACCTATTTTTTTTTGTATTTTTAAACCTTAGCTTGACCAGATTATAAATTTTTTTTTAGCTAAGCTACTTGCAGGGCTTTACTATCTAACTCCAGAAACCGTCATTGCGTTTTGCTACTACTTCACTTTTGGTAAATAATTTTTATTAAACTATTTAAAATAACACTATTCACCTGAACCTCGGGTCTGCATCCAGGGTCTAGACCACCAGTCTGGACTACGGGTGATTCCCGAGTCTAACCCTTACTTGGGGTTCGTGCGCTGGTTTAGCCGATTTTTAGACCCAAACCCCGGGGCTGAGTTTTACACAACCAATCAATTAACAACACTATATAATTTTATTTATTATATTCAACAAATATATAATCATAATTTCATAATAAAGTACATAAAAATAACATTATTCCTTTATGATGGGATATATTTTCCTTTCAAAATTCTCTAAAGGATTTTGTATCTAAGATATATAGTAAAAAATTAAAAAAAAAAATTAATTTATAACTCACCTCATTATATAATTCTTAAAAATATTTCATTCAATTAAATGATTTCCCTGAGTTGCTATATTTCGAAATTCAAACATTAAGGATATTTATTTTATTTATACATTTTTTTTTGAGGGGGGGGGGGAGGGGGGATTTTCAGGTGAAAATGAAGTGGATATTAAATTTGATCGATTAATTAGTTAATTTTTCTTTGTTTGTATTAATTTATTATGAAGGAACATAGAAATTAAATAATATATAAAAATTATTATTCATTTATGATAAATCTGAATTCAGTGGATATGATATATTAAATCTTTAAAATATTTATAAAAAACAAAACACATCTCAGCTCTAATCTCTTGCATCAACCTATTCGTAAACCTAGCTTCAATTCAATTAAAATTCTTTAACTTTTCCAGACCAAAATAAAAATAATTCCATTTAAATGTTCCCTCAAATTAGATCTAGCAACACCAGTTATCTTATTATATAACATTTTGTTTATTATTATTTTTAATAGTTTATCGCTCACATGATAATATTTTAATATCGGATGGCTTTATCCGTTATATTATATTTCTTAGATGTCAATATGAGAGGCTAATTTTTTTATTTTTATATGACTGACAAGAAAAATGAAGTTTTTAAAAAATATTTGAATTGATAATATAATAGTCTATAAAGGTTAAAAATGAGCAAGCCTTTGATCTGGAATCTGAATCAGAACTTAGAATTGAGATAGAAGAAGAAAATATTGCATTTTTAACAGTAATAAAATTTTATTTCAAAAAATAGGCATATAAAAAGTTATATTAATAACTTATCATTTGTAATAAAAATAAGCCTCAAATATTTCAATAATATAAGCATTAAAATAAGATTAAATTGATTTTTAATTTATATACAGCTCAAATCTGGGACAGCTGAAATTTTTGGTAGTGAATTGATATTAGACAAACCTATAACATTAAATCATGGTTCCAAAATTGCTGTTTATACATGGCATGGCTGCAATATTTTACTAAGGGTTGAAAATATTATAAAAGAAAATAGCCACATTCATAAATTAAATGTAAATAAAGAAGAAAATGATGATGACAATGTTGATAACAAAAACTTGATTGATTATATAGCTTATATATCTAAAGAAACACCAAATATTTGTTATGCAAATACTCATGCAGTTTTAGAAAGGATGAGAAGGTCAGCAAAAGAAAAAACCACAAGAGGTCCAAGGGTAATTTTTTATTTAGATATTATTTATTCTGTTAAATTTTATTAAACCATAAAATGAATGAAACCTGGTTTTTTTGCCTTGTTTTATTCCAGTTCTTCAAATTATTATTTTTTGTTGCATATCAGACTTTGCTTAAAAATAAGTTTTTGTTACTCTCATTTTGAAAACTTTCAAAGATGATAGATTAAACCCAGGAAATTATAAAATCTTTTGAAAATTTTTAAAATAATGTTCTCGCCACAATCCCTTGTTTTGGGTGACATTTTTGGCAGGAACTTTTGGGTCCCTAAAAAAGTTGCCAAATATTTTATTCAATATATACAACCTTTGGATATTTTATAATACATAAAAAAATTAAAATAGGTTATGATTGTGGGGCCAGTTGATGTAGGTAAAAGTAGCTTATGTGCTTTGCTATTGAATTATGCAGTTAGGATGGGATGGAAACCTATATATGTAGATCTTGATGTTGGACAAGTTTTAAACATATTTGTATATGTTTTCAATTATTTAATAGGGTTCGATTTCCATACCAGGAAATTTAAGTACAATTATTAGTATTAATGTCTAGTTTAGTATATCTATACAAGGTGCTATACAAGTTGAAAAAACCATTGATATAGAAGAATCATATTACTTATATTCAAATACTGCTTCACCAATGGTTATCCATTTTGGACGTATTTCACCTGGCGATAATATTAAGCTATATTTACACTGTATTACAGTTCTTTCTCAGATTGTTGAAAAAAAGTGTACTGATAAACCGAGAGGTATCATATCATGTATAAATATTTTTAAAGTAAAAATTAGACTCATTAATATAAAATGTAGTTCACAAAAATTATAAACTCACATATTCAGGGTTGGGAAGTCAAATATTGATCAAATTCAATTATATGTTCTTATGATAATATTATATTTATTTAATAGTAAATACATCAATGCATATAATTAGGTTCAATGATATTTTGCTGATTCTTTGTCAGGTTTTTTTTTAAATTCAATTATGCTTTCTTATATTTTTAAATCATAAGTTTTAACTAGTTCTTAAGTAATATTTTGGTTCTTTTAATGTATATTGCCTCAAATGGACTAATTTCTATTTGTTGAATTTGGAAGGGTTTCTATGACACTTAGGAAATAAGGTTAGCAAATTTACTTCCAACAGCTTGATGCTAACATCTGATTAATGTTTATAGATTTTATCGCAGCATCAATTATTTATATCAGGTAATGTGACTTGATTATCACCAGCCTGCAAGAATACAAGTTTTTTATTACAATAATTGAATTCAATTTTTGAAATATGGTCTTGATACTGGGAATTTGATAATTAGGTAGCATACTTTTATAGAAGTTCATTTTGAGAAAATCGTAAATAATGTAAATGGTATAGTTTATTCCTATATTGAGATAACACACAACTTAGCATGTATTAATTTAAAAAAATTGATATATGTAAATTAAATAGGCTCACTCTTTCAAAATTCCAAAATATTTCTAAATGCTTTAGAGGTCTTGCTAATTGTTTACCATTGCCTAGTTATTAATAGTATGTATTCTTTTAATTATTGATATAAGGATTTTTATTAGTGTGTAATGGTAAATTGCTTGTGAAAAATAGCTGCAAATATCCATAATATTTTTTTTTTTTAGTATACTATATCTTATTTACAAGATATTTTATTTTAGATTAATCAGAGTTTGTTAAGATGGGAATTAATCTAATTGTTGGCTGTACTCGGCACAATATTGTCCACTAAGTAGAGTAGATGGTTTGTTTCAGTTCTTTATTATATTCTAACTACTATAAATATCATTTTTGTTAATATAGTTTTTCAATATTAGGGGTGAGACTGTTAAGATGTCTTTTCACTAAGGCCGGACTAGTGTTGTTAGAAAGCTCGATTTGGGCCTATTTTTAAAAACGGCTAATTCAATATTTTATTCAGAAAAATATTATGCAAGTCTGATGATTTTGCTCATAGATGGCACAAAGGTTTGGACATCTATTCGGAAAATCTCGAGGCTTAGGCCATATTTTTATGGCTAAAATATTGAGTCAGTCGTTTTAAAAAATCGGCTTAAATTGAGCATTTAACAACACTATGCTGGACATGCCTACTTTTAATAATGTTATTTCAGTTTATCATGGGTGACAATAATTATGTGATATATTTACAAAAATAATATTTTAGAATATTTGACTGCTTAAATCTTAAATTGACTGTATTTGCTCAGTCAATTGACCGACTTGCCAATCCTGTTATTATTATAGGATTTGGTTTCAAACTACTATACATTATAAAGCTTTATTTCTTCAATGCAATTAATTTAAAATTTAATTTCTCCATTTTTTATAATATAAAACATAATGACAGATTTAGATAACATATTTATTATAAAAGATTTATACTTTTTTAAGTAATATGTTGATTTTGGACTAGCAAAATTTCAACATGTTTGATTTATGTTTGGGAGGATAAAATTTTTTACCAGTAAGGGTTGAGTTCGAAAATTTAAAAAAATTAAAATAATATTTCAATAATAAAAATCTTTAATCTGAAATATAACAGACGATAGACCAGGTTTTAAAGATAAGGCTACAAATAGAACATCATTTAAAATTTTTTAATATTCTTTATTTAATGAAGTCTGGATAATGGAATTTTTATTTCAATATCCTATCAAAAATTCAGCCATATACTGTAAAATATTTTAAAAAAATTGCTGAAATTCGTAATTTTTTTAGTAATTTACTGAAATTGGAAAAATTTTGAAGTAATCCCTAATAATTTAAAAATGACAAGAAGAAACAACTTCCCATTTTCATAAATCAAGATGAATTGATCGAAAAACCAAAGTTCTCACATAATGACTTGATAAAAAACGAGAGTTCAAATCTGTTAAACATTTCTTATGATTAGTGGCATATCTAGAATTTTATGTTGGAACTCATTCAGAGCTGAAATTATTAAAAAAAAAAAATTTAAACTAAAATAAATTAATAATCAAAGCTCGTTTGTTCCTGAAAACTGGCTTTAAATAACCGCATACTTAGAAGTCATCTATGGTAATCATTTCCAGTTCTGTTAACGACATTTGTAATCAATTTTTTCTTGAAAGGATCTTCAATGACAAGTTGAATCGTATCAACAGCACATATGATAAAAAATATATTTTAAAATAGTCTCGGAGATAGCAGAGATGAAAGTTTAGAGGCTGCCTTTACCCATTTCTTAATGAACACGGGAACGATAAGCCTTTTCTATATTAAATATAAAAATTTTTCGAAATAAAGTATCTACATTGCTAGCAAAAGGCTCCAGCTACGTCTCTAAATTTTGACTTGACCCATATTAGTATATGTTATATCCGTGAATCAGATGATAGTTTTAAACAGCACTTGGTTGTCTAAACTTAAGATTTCAGCATCCTCTACAAGGCTATCCATAAAAAGTCTAAATAAAATATAAAGAAATTATAGATAAAAATTACCTTTACTGCATCCCAGATGGCTTTTCTTCCAAAATTTAATAACCTATTAAATTCATTCGGTACTTTAGGTTTTTTTGTTGTTGAGAGTACCACATGAAAATTAACATTTCAAATATTTTAAATGAGGAAATTAACTTTTTCAGAATAAAGAAAACAAAATACACTTTTAATTTTATATGAATAGTAAAATATTTTGTGGGATTTATTCAAATATAGACGGTAAATAAAATTAATATAAATTTTGGATCAGTATTGGATAGGCTTTGTAGTATTATCAGAACAGAATTTGAGAATTGGCACAGCCCTAATCTTTATTTTTCAAGTAGTTATTATCAACTTACCAATAAAATAATTAACATGAATATTTAATTAAGTAGGTTTTCCTATTTTCTCCTTATTCAGCTGATCCTTGAAGTTTCTCAATCTTTTCTTGAGATAAAGAGTACTGTTATCAAAACCAGGGAATTCCAATGCCAAGCTAATTATATCATTATATTTAATATTCTAATATATTTATAACTGGAACCATTAACTGATAAATGTTCCATAACAATGAAACTTTTTTTATGGTTGTCCAGCATTTCTGCAAACCTTTTGGTAATTTAATCGTTCCATGTCCTAAAAATATTATTATATCATTTAAAAATAATTATTCTTAAAATTAAAAAAATTTTATCACTTCAAAATTTAAAAAGTTTTGGAAAACGTAAGCAAGTTTGTCTTTTAAAAAATAATTTAAAATGAAAAATGGAAATGTTCTCAATTTGAACGAATGCATTTAAACATTGTTTGCGTTTTGAAACGCTGCGTTGCAACGTTCAATTTGTGCGCACTATAAGAAACACTCAAAATTAATTTAAAAAAAAATTTCTTAACGTACAACGTTAGAGAATTTTTTCTTTTCCTAATGATGCCTCAAAATATTTATTTCTAAAATCTTAAACTTTATATTATAGCGTGAAGTTAGCCCCCCCCCCCCCCCCCGATATTGCAATTTTGACATTTTTCAAATTTTAAAACGGGATTGAATAATCAATTTTTTAATAGAAAGCGATAGAGGAACTTTTATCCTTACTAATGATGCTCTATTTTTATATTCATTTAAAAATAAGAAAGTACCATATAATTAAATTTGCTTAGAGGGTTAATATTGTATTCGGCTACTATATATATTCTCCAAAATTTTTTTACTCTTGCCTCCACTCGTTTTTTGCCAATGTTAACCATATAAATAAATATTTGTAATTTTTTTACAATTATTTTTTTTTCATATTATTATTGACAAATATTTTCGCACATCCTAAAATATCCATATTCAAATTTTTTTGAAGATCACATATTCTTTTAGGATTTTTTTAAACCAAATAATACTTAAAATGTTCTTATCCAATCTTTCCTTTTAACAAAACTCTTTTCTTCCACTTTCTCTAGTGATTTATGATATTTATAATTAATAAAATTTATAAGTTTATCTAAAACTTCTGTTCGTTTCAAAGTTAACCAAAAACCTCAGTTGATTAAATTAACTAGAAACTTATCTGTTGATTTATAAGTTAAACAAAAATATTTTATTCTATATAATAATTATTCTCATAAACTATCACCATGATAAAACTAACACAAACTTTCTTTAACCATATATATTGTGGATGCTCACTATAATATATTTTTGTCAATTATTTCTCCAAATGAATGCTCGTGCACTATAGGTTTAATAAAAAATTATTTATTACATTATATAAATATCTATAATATATCTCTTTTTGTCAAAATTTGTTTAAGACCGGTATTATATTTATTACCAATAATCTTTTATAAACATTAATATCTTTCATTTCCAATAGCATTAAGGATATCTTCTTTCTAGATTCTCAAAATATGTATATTATTTTCATATATTCAATATTTCATCATCCTCATAATCGTATACTTCAATATTATCATTCTATCTTCTTTCTAGATTCTCAAAATATATTTTTTTTTCATATATTCAATATTTCATCATCCTCTTCACGATCATATACTTCAGTAATATCATTCTATCTTTCATATTCTTTTGATATAAACACTCATGTGTTTCCTTTCAAAATTACCTAAAACTGTATTTCAAATTGTTGTTTCTTATATTTATAAAGCATTTTTAAGTTTCATTTAGTAAACTGAATAGTTGTCTAAAATCGATATCTTCTTCATTTCATTAATTTATTCTTAAAAATATAAATAGGTCTTTAAAAAATATTTTCATAAATATTACTCGTTTTTTACTAATTTTTATTATAACTAGCTGATAGCCCGTCAAGAATGACGGGGAATCAGAATTTTCTCCGTATGGATAAATAATAAATTTTACCTTCATTTGACGATGGATGAATCAGAATAGTTAAATGAGAGGAATAGATTATCCGTATTC